CAAAAAAAAAAAAAGGCCAGCAGCAAGATGGCTCAGCAGATAGAGACCCCTACAAGCAGGCCTGACACCCTAAATTCAATTCCCAAGTCCCCATGGCCCCAGGGTAGAAACAACACCCAAGAGCAGTCAGTCCTCTACCTCTATACCATGCAAGTCATGGCATGTACATACCACTTGCACTCATCATACACACAGAATAAAATTAAATGGGTAAATAAATGCATGGTCTTTTTGAGACAGGGTCTCTCTGTAGCCCCAGCTGGCCTGAACTCACAGAGATCAGCCTGGCTCTGCCTCTTAAGTGCCTGGGACCAAAGGCGTACGCCACCATGCCCAGCTTATCTCATGTTTTCAAAGAAAAATAAAGGAAAACTAGCCAAACCCTTTGAAGTAGTATCAGATGCAACCTGACTGATAGAACTTTTTAAAAACCAAAATCTTTTGAGATTCTGGCCCTTGAGAGACAAAAGGGAGGGCACTAGGGGAGCTGTACAAGTCAGGACTGCAGTGGCCAGGAAGTCCAGCAGAGCCTAACTCCAGTGCAACCACATGCAGGATGCATACCAAGTTCCTGAGTGATAGAGCACAGGTTAAGTCCAATCCCTGACTGAACGCAGCTAGGCCAGGACTTCCTGCAGCTGGTTACTGAGAGTTGGTTATTTAATAATGAAGAAAATCAATGTATATTAGCATAAGTAATTAAAAAGTAATCTTTCCCCTTTTATGATCTCTGTATGTATGTATATATGTGAACTAGGTCGTTGGTTTACACAGAACAATGTAAAGAATCCTGCTAAAAGGAGAACAGGCAGGAATGTCTTAGTGACAAACACTGCCTTCTCTAAAATGTCCTATTAGAGAATTTATGACTAACATATTTTCTTGCAAATACTTTACCTCGAAATTGCAATAGACACTCTGACAGCTGATCGAAACCTGGTGAAACCCTTTGGGCGGTTGGTGATCACCTCGAGATCAGTGAAGGCAGGGTGCCCCCCCATGCGGGCGAGTAGCCCCAAAGTGGCGTCCTCACACTCTTGGAACCCCCCAAGCAGTAGCAGCAGGTATTTCTTCTGATAAATGAGAGCTTTTCGAAAACTTTCAGCTCTCAGATATTTACCATAAATTCTCTGTATTTAAAGACGGGAAGAACACAGAAACACAGTGAAACATCATTCAAATTCTTTTCTAGAGGAAAGTTTCTTAAATCAATCAAACAAACAAACAAATAGTAGAAGCCGGGCATCCTACCACTGTTTTCTACTCTATCAGTAACCCTTATGTTCTGCCTCTGCAGTCAGTGGACTGACTGTTAACCTTAGAGTCATGCTTTGTTTATTTCTGGCTTTAGCCCTTTTCATCATATTTATTGCAGATATTTTTGTCATCTTATTATCATTTAAGTTTTAAAAACTGTGTATGAACTTTTAAAACAAGGATGGTCACTTATGTATTTAGCTTCTTTTCCTCCTCCTCCTTTTTTTTTTTGCCCTTTTTGAGAAAAGGTCTCCCTGTAGCCCCAGCTGTCCTGGAACTCACTATGTAGACCAGGTTGGCCTTGAACTCACAGAGATCCACCTGCCTCTGCCTCCCAAGTGCTGGAATTAAAGGCGTGTGCCACCACACCTGGCTGTATCATAAATGTATGTTCATTTCAGAGTTTAAACATCCCAAGTATGTTCTTTCCTTTCATTTTGGACTCACGCTAATTGATTAGGGTAGCTTTATGACAACATTCATTCTCAGACACTAGTAGCAACTTGCCGGGACTTCCCATCCCGGGGCATGTTCTTCCACTGATAGCCATTATGCTTTCCTTAGGAGCTGGAAGATAACACTTCTATTTGCCTGCTGGGGAAGAAACTCTGGGCAGTAGGGCCATGTGCTGTGTGTGCTGACTGTTGAGACAGAGCGAAATCTGGCTCCAGTGCTGGGTTTCCCTTTCTACAAAGGTTTCCTTTCTACAAACCTCCTGTGACCAGCCCAAGACACTGCAATTGTGAGAGACTGAAGACAGATGCCCAGGGACACAGCCTGAGCAGCACCTACACCTTCTGTAGCCTGTTCCACTAAAGTCAGTGAGAGGGGCTTGGTGTAGACAGAAGATGTCCCCTACCTTCAAGGTGGCATGTTCAGTGTCAGGGCTCAGATTCTGAAGTAAAGAATCATTTCTCAGTTCAGCTTTCAGTTTGCACACTTCAGCTTCTGCCTTTTTCAAGGATTTCTGAAGAGCCAACTTTTCCCTGTTCCAGACTTCTTTTTCCGAAGCAATGATGACTTCGATGTTAGCACCACCGAAGGAAAACCTAGAAGACTGCAGAGACCACAGCCTTGCATCACTTTCAAGACTGAGTCTCTGAAGAATCTGAATTAAACACATTAAAGGTATCATAACAGACACAGTGCCCCGGCTTTTTAACTCCACAGGGTTAAGTTCACATACAATCACAACTGACATTAACCACTCAATTCTTTGTTGAGGAGATGGACTTTTTAAGTTTCTGGAAGCCTAGACACAGAAGTTTAGCAGAGCCTTCAACCAAAAAATTCAGGAGACTGAAAAGCCAGAGTCTGGATCTACATACTGAGTCTAGAATACAGATGTGGAGAAAGCCCAGTATCTCCATCACTGAGTGATCCTTATGCTAGCCACATGATGAGCTATCATTTGTTTGACTATGTAGTTGTTTGACCAGCTTTTTCTACCTTTAAATAGATGGGTGGATATAGAAACTAGCCTTCTATTTCACAGCTTAAAGAAAAAATTAAAATTCCTAGAGTAGCTTATTAGCCTGGAATATATAACCTAACATCTTTCATTCAGTCACAAACACAGTAAGTGATAACTGAAGAACCAGAATTCACATTTGAATATCTCTTTACATTTGCGTACTGTCAGTCAACCTGTCTTTGGAGATAGACCTTTGATTGTGACTTGGTTTTCTCAAGCACAAGGCTGGATGTGGATAAGTGATTCTGTACCCAGAGTACAGTCCAGAAACCTCCCCATAATATAGCTATTATTATTTGTGCTAGATAGCTTTAGCTGCCAACTTGACACCTGAGTTGGGGGAACCTCAACTGGGGAACTGCCTCCATTGAACTGGCCTGTGGCCAGTGCCATCCCTGGCAGATGGTCCTGTATTGTATTAAGAAAGCAGGATGAGCACAGGCCAGGGGAATAAGCCAGTAAGCAGTGCTCTTCCATGGCCTGTGCTTCAGCTCCTGCCTCCAGGTTCTTGCCCCGAGTTCCTACCTTGGGGTCCCTGATGAACTGTGACCTAGGAGATGTAAGTCAAATAAACCCTTTCCTCTCCAAGTTCCTATTGGTCAGTGTGTTTTGTCATAGCAATCAAAGGCAGACTAGAACATTATTATTGTCATATAATATTTTCTATAGATCCTACTAAGATTCAGAAACTTGGTACTTTAAAATAATATATAGATTTTTTTAATCTTTATTGTTTTTATTTTATGTGTATGTGTATATTGCCTGCATGTAGGTAAGTGAACCCATGTCGTGCAATGCTCGTGGAAGACAGAAGCAGCTGTCAGATCCCCTGGAACTGGAGTTCAGACAGTTGTTAGCTGCCATGTGGGTGCTGGGATTTGAACCCCAGTTTTCTGCAGGAACAGTCAGTGTTCTTAACTGCTGAGCCATCTCTCTAGCCCCCGAAACGTGGTACTTTTTACATTATAGTTAAAAGTAAAACTAGGTAGCAAAACCAAACTTTGTGTTACTTTTAAAAATAGACGTACATAATCTCTACCCGCTCCTGTCTGTCGATAACACCTCATCTGTTCTTCCAGCTTCATGACCATGTTCCTTAAATCATTCTTTTCTTCAGTTAGCTGACTGATATGCCCTGTCAGTTCAGCATTCTGTCTCAGCAGTCTTTCAGTCAATGAGCCACAGGAAGTACTTGGTGGCATTAAGCTATGCTGGAAAAACAAAATGGCCCAAAGTCACATAGAGAGTCATGTACATGAGTAACTCATGCAAAAGTGATCAGGTGCTGAGAGCAACAGACTTCAAGAACTGGAACGTGGTTAAACAGTAGTAGAAACGTGCCAAGCAGGAAGGCAGCTGTGGAAGGATTTAGTTGGCAGAAGGAAGATCATTCAAGTACAGAGGCTTATGCAAGAATGTGCTGCTTAAGGAGCCACTAGTTGCTTTTTAAGACTAAATTTTGCTGCACTTTATGATAACAGACCTAAACCAAGGAAACAGTCATGAAAGGCTTTAATGCACACCACTAACAAAATTTATCATCTTTGAAAGATTCCTTTGGTAGCAGTGTGCTGAAGAGAATAGCTCAGGGAAGACAGAACAACTGGAGTGCCTGGGTATTCCTGCTAGGAAGCTCTTAACAATTCAGGCAGAAAACATTGAGGAGTGCCTAGGGACAGAGAGGAAAGGGCACATGAAACAGGGACTTAGAAGACAGAGGACACAGGATTTAGGGACTGCTTAGATGCATATGTTAAGGATGAAGTAACATGGTCTATGCTGACTTTCAGCCTTCCAAAGTGTGTACTACCACAACCAGAAAGGGGTCTGAGAGAGAAAAGGGAAAGACAAGATGATGTGCAGTTTTGAATGTGTCTGTGAGGTTCCTAAGGGATCACTATGGGGACCATTTCCCTAAGAAAAGATATCGAGCATCTAACTGAAAATACAAGCCATCACAGCTATACTAGAACCACAGGCCACTAGACAATTGATTCCAGAAGGGCAAGTTCTTGTCAAATTTCTTCACTGTATCTCTAGACCTATATAGTACCTGGAACACGGTACATAGGTGCTCAATAAGTCTAGTGAGAGCTCACAGTGTAGAAGTGAGTGAGCTTTCTTAGTTGTAGGCAACACAGAAAACAGAAGATGACAGAAGGAAGAGGAACCCCAAAGCTGTCTGAGTAAAGAAGTGGATGAGATGAGAGCACTGACATAAAAGGCAAGGAAAAAGTGTTTTAAGACAGAGTACTTCCTCAAGAGGTCAAAAAAATCAAATGTATGAGAAAGTCAGAAAGGAGTGCAAAGAGTCACCATAATAGTTACTAACAGGGAAGACAAAACCAGTAGGATTCTAGGGGCAGTTCATGGAGTGGTAAGGACCGAGAAGCCATGCTGTTCTTTCAAGAAGCTTGTATCTAGTAAGAGGTCAATGTAATTATTTAGTAACAATAGTTAAAGTTAACCCCTCTCCCTAACTTTCACTTTCTCTTATTGGGGAACGAGAAACACTATATTTAAAATCCCAAACTAAATCAAATAGAAACTCTTACAAAATAGTCTGCCAGTTTCAAATAATCCACATTTTCCATTTAATCTTTGCTCTCTGCTTCACAAAGAGTTTTAAAAAGTCTTACCTCTTCTCTTGGCTGGCCAGTTAGTCTATGTAGTTGTAAAATAATTCCATCAATATTTTCTTGAACCCAAATAAAAGTTTCAACATCTGTTGTTTCAAACTGTAGTCTTTAAGAAGAAGACAAAAAGTCACAACACAACTTCTCCTTATGGAACTTATATACACTAGAGGCTAGGTGATGCTCTGCGTTACTAACACACACCAGAGGCTAGGGGATGCTCTGCGTTACTAACACACACCAGAGGCTAGGGGATGCTCTGTGTTACTAACACACATGCACTAGAGGCTAGGGGATGCTCTGTGTTACTAACACACACTAGAGACTAGGGGATGCTCTGTTTCACTTGTCGCTTTGTCCCCTAAGTATTCCCTTCTCTGGTTCAAGGTTTTAGTTGTTTTCAGATGTCTGAGTTCTGTTAAAGAATATCATCATCTATGGGGCTGGAGAGATGGCTCAGTGGTTAAGAACACTGGCTGTTCTTGCAGAAGACCCGGGTTCAAATCCCAGCACCCATATGGCAGCTAACAACTGTCCAAAACTCCAGTTCCAAGGGATCTGACGGCCTCTTCTGTCCTCTGAGGGCATTGCACGACATGGGTGCACTTACCTACATGCAGGCAATACACGCACACATGCAAAAAATAAAATAAAATAAAAAAAAAGAATATCATCTAATGTAAACATGATTATCTTTAAATTCCTTTTCCTTGGGCTGGGCTTAGTGGAACATGGCTTTAATCCAAACACACTGGGAGGTAGAGACAGGAGGATCTCTGTGAGTTCCAGGCCAGTCAGGGCTACATCATGAGACCCTGTCTCAAAAATAACAAAGGCCAAAACCAGTATTTTTTTTCTTCCTCACACTCGGCTAGTCTAAGAATGCCATTTTCCAAAGATGAGGGAGAAAGTCTAACCTGTTGCAGGCTTTCTGGGCTAGATGTTGCAGTTTTAAGGCTACACACTGAAGCTTTTTCCTGATTATTTCCAGTTCATGACTGTGGCCAGTTTCTCCTCCATTCATTTCAATCAACTTTGCGTAGCTTGAGTCTTCTGTCTCTCCTTCCATCTTCTGCTGAAGAACCCAGTTTCTAGTTCGATCATTAGTGAAGCTCCAGGTGGCTGGCTGGCAATTTTGGACAGAAAAATAAAACAGTGATTATAAATGATCAGAATTTTATTTTTATTATTTTTTTTGTCTTTTTGAGATGGGGTCTCCCTGTAGCCCCAGCTGTCCTAGAACTCACTATGTAGACCAGGCTGGCCTTGAACTCACAGAGATCCGCCTGCCTCTGCCTCCCGAGTGCTGGGATTAAAGGCGTGCGCCATCACGCCCGGCTAGAACTTTATATTTTTAAGAGAACGTGATATTTGTTCATATTGCAAATAAAGGTACAGAGATACCATTTTTAGGTGATCTGTATATAACTATTTAAATATTTCAATAATAAAATACTTGAAATTTAAAAACTTTTAAACTATTTTAAAATATTAAAATAACTCATAAATTAAAAAATACTATTTATTACTACTGTTTCTGTGTACATGTGTGCTATGGGATTCATGTAAAGGTCAGAAGACAACTTTGTGGCATTGGTTCTCTCTTTCCATTTTTCCACAGGTTCCAGAGCTGGAACTCAGGTCAATATGCGGTAAAGTACCTTTACTCACTGAGCTATCTATCTCATTGACCTTCATAAATATTTTATTAGTTGTTTTGTTTTGACAAGGTTTCCCTAGTCCCAGCTCTCTTAGACTGAATCATTATGTGGACCAGGCTGGTCTCACAGAGATCTCACAGTGATCTGCCTGCCTCTTCTTCCTGAGGGCTGGGATTAAAGGCATGTGCCATCATGCCTGGCTTTCATAAATATTAAAAAGGAACAAAAAATTTACCTCATTAAGATTCTGATACAGAATTCGTCTGCTTTCCCGCTTTTCCTCTCTTTCTAGTTCTTGTTTCTGGAATTCCTGCATGATTCCTTGCAGTCGCTTCCCTTCAAGGTCTAACTTGTACACCTGCTGCCTTTTCTCTTCCAGCTGGTGCTGCAGATCCTCTACTTTGGACTGGAGCTCATGCATTTTCCTCTGTCCCTGGGTGTTAGCCTCCTGCTCTGTCTGCAATGTCTTCCAATGAACCTGCCTGTCTTTTTCCATTTGCTGCCTTGTTTGCAGAGAATCCAGTTTATATTTTTCAGTCTCATTCAACAGTTCTACGATGCGGCTGTGCTTTTCCTCTAGCTGTTTCTGTAACTCTTTAAGCAAGTCTTCTGAAGGTAAGGACGGCCGAGGCTGCCCACTGTCATCACCACTCTGCAACTGGGCGTGCAACTCCCGCTCCTTATCTAGCGTGCTCCTCAGCTCCTGAATTCGAACTTTCTCAGATTCCAGAAGTACTTGAAGCTCTAAGTTTCGGCCTTGTTCTTCTGAGAGCTGGGCATCATATAGCATCTTTTGTGATTCCATTTTCTGCTGTGATTCATTTAGTAGTTGTTTCTGTTGTTCCAAAAGGAGATTTAACTGCATATTCCTCTGTTTCTGATCCTCAAGTGAAAATTTCAGGTCCTTGAAGTGAAAATAAAAGATTAACACACCATATTAAAAATACTTTGTGGGCTGGAAAGATGCCTTAGCCATTAAAGGCTCAAGCTCACAACCTAAAAACACTTTACAAGTGAATAACCATTACTTTAGTAACAACGTGACAGTATCTAGTAACAGAAGACAGAACAGTTACCCAGTAGATAGTGGTTAGAACATAATTATTTAGATAGCCAAATGGTTTTCATCAAGAATATGAACAAAATATATCAACACAAAACTTATCTGGCTAAATATAAGTCATTCAAATGACACCTTTAAAAATATATGTGTTAAGGCCGGGTGTGATGGTGCACTCCTTTAATCCCAGCACTTGGGAGGCAGAGGCAGGCGGATCTCTGTGAGTTCAAGGCCAGCATGGTCTACATAGTGAGTTCCAGGACAACACAGGTGTGATTGTATGGATGCAACCTACTTACCAACACACACATACATACACACACACACACACACACACACACACACACACATACACACACATGTGTTCATATGCTACTCAATATTATTAATGGGATACTTTTTCTAAATATCAAAGTATAAGAAAATACTTGTTTCTCAGTATCATACATTAGCAGTATCAAGAATGGTGAGCACAGGGAGGAAGTGATCTTCAATCAGGGAAAGAGAGATAACAGGATGACTGAGATGAAGGTGGAGGGGGCCTCTTTTGGGGCAGGAAAGGAACCAGAGACAGGGGTGCAGGGAGCACAAGGGCCACGAGGGAAAAGGATGAATGAGGACAAAATATGACACAGGAGTAGAATGCCATAACAAACATATTACTTTGTATGCTAACTTAAAAGATTAATTTTAAAAATGGGGCTTAAAAAATATAGAAACAATAACAAGAATTTCCCATATATTATAGCAATTCTTTCCTTTTGCAATGTGGATTCCTGGTAGGATGTGAGAGAATCTAACTCCACTGTCTTGGTTTTTAAAGAAAGATGGTGATGCCAAATGGCTATATAGGATCCCAGTTAAGAGACTGGATTTTTTCAAGACAACTTGAACTAAATTTTAAATTGTTTTTATAAAACTTAAAAAGGACTGTGGGACTTTTAAAAGCTGTACTGTGTTTTACATTCTATTAACATGAGACCTTGGGGATAAATAAGAAAGGAAAGATTACGTGTTTTTTTTTTTTTTTTTTTTTTTTTTTGAGACAGGGTCTTCCTGTAGCCACAGCTGGCCTGGAACTCACTATATAGACCAGGGTGGCCTTGAACTCACAGAGATCTGCCTGCGACCATTCCTAGTTAAGATTATGGTTTAATAATGATGTGTTTGTGAGTCAAGAAAACAAAGGTCAATTGTGCTGGCTAGCTTTTGTCAAGATTAGCTAGCGTCATTTGGGAAGAGGGAACTTTGACTGAGGAACAAAATCCTGTCAGATTGGCCTGTAGCCTGTCCTCTGTGAGGCACTTTCTTAGTTGTTTATTTATGGAACAAGGCCCATTTCCCTGTGGGTGGTATGTTCTCTGGGCAGGTAGTCCTGGGCTGTATAAGAAAGGTAGCTGAGCAAGCCAGAGGAAGAAAGCCATTAAGCAGTGCTCCTCCATTCCTTCATTCTCTATGCTTTAGTTCCTGCCTCCAGGTTTCTGCCTTGAGTTCCTGCCCTGACTTCTCTCAGTGATGGACTGTGACCTGAGAATTGTAAGATGAAGTAAATTCTTCCCCAAGTTCTTTTTGGACAGTGTTTTATCACAGCAACAGAAAAGCAAACTAAAACACACATTTTGGCAGAACATTTGGAACTTAGCAAATGCTGTAAGATGGAATTTATAGCTACAAGAACCAGCAAAACCTAACATTGGATGGAAAGAAACAATAAGGATCATTAAGTAAATATGGAGACTAAAAGAATAATACAGAGAAACAACAAAACAAAGAACTGGTTCATTTAAAAGGTAGCCATGACGGACTCTTACTTAAACGAACCAAAGAGAAAAAGACCCTAATTAACACATATAGAGAGAGAAGAAAAAGGGGAGTACTGTAGTAGATATGAAATTCAAGGAGCATTAAGAACACTTTGAAACTTAGGCTCTAAAAAAGTGGAAAATCTAAGGGAAATAGATAATTTCTACCACATATAACATGCCAATATTGAATGAACAGGATATAAACAGTTTAAAACAGATTTAAAATGAACAATGAGAATGAAGAATAATAAAGAGGTTCCTAACACAGAAAAGCACAGGACTGAACAAATTCACTGTTGAATTCTACCAGACATTTAAAAAATAATTTAACATCACCGGGCATGGTGGCGCACACCTTTAATCCCAGCACTTGGGAGGCAGAGGCAGGCGGATCTCTGTGAGTTCAAGGCCGGCGATCTGAAGCTGAGACAGGAAGATTCTGAATTCCAGACCCTGGATTATATAGTGAGACCCTGAAAAAAAAAAAAAAAAAAAAAAACCCTTAAGCTCTGAAGTCAGTTGAGGAAAGCACTGGGAAGATACCTCGATATACTGGCACAGGCAATGCCTTTCTGAATAGGGTGATACTAGCCAAGAAACAATGGCAAAGACTGACAGATAGGATGGCATCAAATTAAAAGCTTCTGCAAACAAAGGAAACAACAGTGAAGAAGCCCAAGAACGAGATGGAATCTTTGTCAACTATTCATCTGGTAAGGGATTAATACTAAAAATACATAAAAATATCAAAAAAAAAATCAAACACTATAAAAATCAAAGAATCCAGTCAACAACTGGGCAAATGAATCAAACAAACAGTTTCAAAAGAAATACTATGAGTAGCTAATAAATACATTTGAAAAATCAAATCAAATCTCACCTTAATCAGAACAGGTGTCATCAAGAAAACAAAGAGCAAATGCTGGCCATGATGCAAGGAAGAAGAAGCCCTTATACACTGTTTGTGAAATAGTATGGCCACTGTGAGGTTCCTGAAACTGATATCACAACTATCACATGTTCTTACTGTATCACTCATGGATATAACCCCCAAATAACCAACAACAGTATACAATAGAAATAACTGGCACACATATTTATTGTGACAATTTAAAAAGAGCCAAGTTGTGAAATCAGCCCAGGTGCCCACCATCAGTTGAATAAAGAAAATATGATATATGTACACAAAGAGTATATCCAACCACAAACAAGAATGAAATCATGTCACTTCAGGAATATGGATGGAACTAATGACCTATGTCAAGAGCAATAAACTGACTCTGAAAGAAACAAATACTGTATGTTTTCTTTCTCTTTGGAATTTGGATTAAAAAAAGAAGTCTTGGTAGTGGAAGGGGAACTACTGGGTGGGAACTAGAAGGAGGGAAAGAGAGGGTTATGTGAATATTATCCAAGTCTATTTTATGTGTGTTTGAAGTACCAAAATGAAACCTACTAAAACACTTTCTTGTTTATATAACTAATATATGAGTTGTATAATGTAACAATGTTTTTAAAAGTATGCGCCTGATATAAAGTGATAGGGATTCCTTTTCTGGGGATGGGGGTGGGGATTAAGACAGGATCTTCCTGTAACCCCAGTTAGATTGAGCCTGCCTCTGCCTCCCAAGTGCTGGGATTAAAGGTGTGTACTACCACACCCAGTGACGGTACTTAAAAAAAAAAAAAAGGGCTTATGAGTAGCCCTTTTAGGGTTTAGGGATAAAGTAGGTTTTAGGGATAAAGTACTCAAACTATGCAAATTAAAAAAAAAATTTATTTATTTTTATTTTGTGTTTGAGTGTTTTGCCTGCATGTGAGAACACCACGTGTGTGCAATGTCCACAGAGGTCAGAGAGGGCATTGGATTCCCCAGAACTAGAGTTACACACAATTGTTAGCTGCCATGTGGGTGCTGGGAACCAAACCTAGGTTCTTTGCAAGGGTAGCCAGTGCACTTAGCCACTGAGTCATCTCTCCAGTCCCCCAAAATATGCAAATTTGTAGTAAGAAATAAATTAGTACTTTAGAAGATGTCACTACATACAGGTTACAAATACAGAAATTAAAAGAAAATATGGCTGGGTATGGTGGCATATGCCTTTAGTCCCATTACTTGGGAGGCAGAGGCAGGCAGATCTGTGTGAAAATGAGGCCAGCCTGGTCTACCTAGCATGTTCTAGGCTCCAGGGAGACCCAGTCTCAAAAAGACAAGAAAAAGAAAATATGGCAAAAATGCTGCAAACACTTAAAATTTTTGTTTGCCATCTACTTGGTGACAACTGGATTGGTGGGACAGCCAGTGTGGTCACTGTTAAAATGGGCACTCTAGTAGCACAGCCTGCCTTGAGCAGAAAGCCAGGAAAGCTGAGGGTGCTGCCCTTGACAGAGCCCAGTGTTCATTTCCAGTTTTGCTTCTTTTAAGTAGAGCAGGAAGGGCTGCTGGTATCAAGAAATTACCCCTCTCCTCCTTTAGGAGAAAACAGAAACCCAAGCTATTCTTCACTAACCTGACACAACTGTCCCTTTTGTAAAAAATGTTTTCTCAAATTCACATCTTCAGTATTTGGTGCATTAGAGCAGTCTGTATGAATCCTCAAATGTAGGAAAAAAATTATCACAGCATTTACTTTTCCTCTTTCTACAGCTTAGAAAATTTTACAGTAGTATTCAACCCAGAGCAAATAAACTACATGTTTTAAGGGGTTAGACTGATATTTGAACTGAGAAATTCTCATGACTTTGGATCTTCCAAAGACGTAAGACAACAGTACCTCAAGTTCTTCTTTATCCCGTTCTTCACTGTGTTCCAACTTGGCTTTCTCTTTCTCCAAAGCCCACTGAAGCTCTCTTGACATCTTCTGCTCACTTGCTAATGCATCATTAAGTAAATGCACTTCATCTGTCTTATCTTTAACTTCCAACCTAAATGGAGACAAATCAACTTTAATAAAGTTATTTTGAAGAACTATATACTCATAAATAGGAAAACAGATGCCACTCAAATGCTGAGACATATTACGAACTAGTTACAGTACATAAAGTTGAGATTCTTAGCTTACTTCATTTCAAATGAACCACTGTTTCTAAAAGAACTTATTTACTATTGTAAACAATTACTTTATTGGAAGAAAAATAACATTAAAACAATTTGGGGAGCTGGAGAAATGGCTCAGTGGTTGAGAGCACTGCTGCTCTTGTAGAGGACCTGGGTTTGGTTCCTAACACTCACATGACAGCTAACAACCATAGGTGATTACAGTTCCAAGGGATCCAACACCCTCTTTTGGCCCCCACAGGCATTGCACAATACAGGTGCATTCACATACTTGCAGGCAAAAAGCACACATAAAATAAAAATATTTTTTAAGAAAATATTTTATTATTTTTATTATATATGTATGAGTGTATTGCTTGCATGTATGTACACTTGTGTCATGCAATGCCCTTGGAGGTCAGAAGGGGGTGTTAGATCTGCTGGAACTGGAGTTACAATAGTTGGTAGCTACCATGTGGGTTCTGGGAATTGAACCTAGGTCCTCTGGAAGAACAGCCAGTGCTCTTAATTGCTGAGCCATCTCTCCAGCCCCATAAAAATAAAATATTAAAAAAAATTTCCTTGTCTTTTACTGAATACAGAAATCATCATGTAAATGTGTGTGTATGAAATCAATGTCCAAGATAAAAGTGACTTTACTTGCAACATCTATTTGGCAAGCAGAATACCTTAGCATTCAGAGCAACAATATATCCCTTTTCTAAGCACTATCTATTCAAAACTTGGCCTGTTAGTGAACTAAACCACGAAATCATCAACATTACTTATAATTAGTTGGTGGTAAAATAGAGGTCAAAATTATATCTAATAAGTGTTGAAGAGAACAGAAGCCACAGTAGAAAACAGGCCAAAATGATCATGTTTGTATATGGAAAAATCTGTGGAGTTTTCTTGCTCTATTGCAGTTCTTCTTACAAATAACGTAGTTTGAAGTTTTGTGTAATACCTGTATAAATATACAGGCAAAAGTTGTTCAATCCCTCTACGAATACACAATGACTTGATAGTAAAGAACCTTGCATACCTGAATGCTTCTAACTCCTTTAGGTGCTTATGCTGGGCCTTGAGTGTTGTTTCTAGCTCCAGTTTTGTTTGTGCGAGTTCACTTTTTAGTTCAGCAACCACCATTTTTTCTGAACTCAACTGTTCCTGCAGCTCAGCTGCTCGGTCCTTCACACTGCTGAGCTCCACTTGCATCTCCAGCATCTGAGACTGCTTCTGTTGCATATTGTATTCCAAGACTTCTAAAAGGAACATGATTAATATCTAAACATGGTCTAGCAACTTATACTTCCTTTATTAATATTTCATTCATAAGAACTTATTTATAATTTAGGATATTACCACAAAGAAATTATGAAATGCTTCCCAGCCCCAAAGTTGATAATTTAAGTAAATAAATGGTTCTGTTTTCCACAGGGTGCTAGTGGAGACGAGTTCAGAATTACAAATAAAGAAGAATGACAAAAATGTTAACAATACATTAATGGGTGCAAGAAAAAATATGCAACTTGAAATGCTCATATATTGTTGAGAGCAATTTGTATATTTGTACATTTGGAATGTAAACAATTCACATTAAAACCCCCAATGATTTCTGATAGTCACACGTAATAAATGCAGGACTTACCCAGGTAACTATGATTATAATGATCAGCTTCTTTCTCTTTTTGTGACAATGTCTGTCTGTAACCCAGGCTGGTATGAAACTCATGGCAATCCTGCTTCAGCCTCTCAAATGCTGAGACTATAGGCATGAGTCACCACCTTAGCTCTCTCAGCTTTTCAATTACAAATGTGACCCTATGCTTCAAAGTCTGTAGGAGCATGGGTGTTTCTACCACTGACACAAAATTACCAAAGAGGAAGCCAGTTGTCCTCACTAGACACGAAGAAGACTTACTCTCTAATGATTTCCAGCTGTAGTTAAAAAAAAAAAAAAAGAAAACCCAAAACAAAACCCTTATTGAAAAGTGGGGAAAAGATCCACTAAGCCTATATCAAAAGCAAAAATTGAACCAGTCAATAATCATGTGCAAAAGGAATAAATGACTTCCTCAAAGTTAATTAAAACCACAATAAATGTACATAGCATACCCAGCAACAATGTGGCAACAATACCAGCTGCTGGCAAAGAGGAAAAGCACAGACCACTCACACTGCTAGTGAGCATCAAACTGATAGGACTGTTTCCAAAATAGTTTGGGCCAGACACGGGGGTACACACCTGTTACCCTACCCCTTGGGAAAGTGGAGACAGAAGTATTGGGAGCTAAGGACCATCTCTGGCTACATATCAAGGCCAGCATGGGCTACATGAGAATCTATCTCAAAAGAAAAGAAGTTTGGCATTATCTAATAAATTTGAAGATACACATCTTATGATCTGGAATTTCATTCCTAGGAAGCTAAGAAAACTTGTGTCCAAGCATATCAGAAACACTGTAGAACAAGGTCTCTAACAGCACTGACCCTACTGTTAAAAAGCAGAAATAACCCAAATTACTCAAGCACAGACTTAACATGTAAATTGTGGAACACCTCCACAAGTCAATTCTATACAGAAACAAAAGTGAACTTGAAGATACATGCAGTAACTTAAGAAGCAAGACACAAAATAAGCACAGATGGATAAAGTTCAAAACCAGGAAAGCATTAGCACCACACACAGTCTAGTAGTTTATACCCCGGTAGGAAAACTAAAGAAAAACATCAGATAGTGATAACCTAAGTTACACAGAGGAAGACGTGAGGGCAAGTTCCAGTTCTTGACAGGGGTAATGATCCCACATATTCATTTCATAATTTGTTATTCTCTGTATCTGAATTTTTGTATTTTACTTTTCTATATGGATGTCATAGATTACAGTTTTATAAACTAAGGACTAAAAAATAAGTAGCTACTTTTATTGTGTATTTCCCTTTCTTTTAGGTAAGATAACAAATAGCTTTAGAACAAAGAAAACACACGTAATGGGCTGAACCAGATCAAGGTAAGGTGTGTTAATTTTAAATTAGTTATACCTACTTAAAACCAATTTGACCATTGTTAGATCATCTTAATGTTATAATAATAAGGAAAATGTCTGTGTAATCCCAGTAGCCTGTCACACAGCATACCCTGGCTTGGCTTGTCACTTTCTTGCTCTCTTTTCAGGGTCACTTTCCTGCCATTAATCTGGGCGCGCAATGCTTCAATTTCAGATAACAAACTCCTTCGATCTGCTTTCTGGAGACATTCCATAGCTGCTTGATATTCAATACTCTGTAACAAAGGAAAATGAAAACCCTAGTGAAGAGAGGTATAAAGATAATAAAAACTCTAGGAAGTCTGAATAAGAATGAATGGAATGCACATGCTAATTTTTCACTTAAAACTGTGCAGTTTTTCTTGTCAAAAAAAAAGTGAGAGTCTGCTGCAGACAGATGCTCCTTCAGTCTTTTTATTGATTATAGATCAACTGTGTGTGGGCACATGAATGCCACATGTGGGTATGGAGGTCAGAAGACAATTTGTGGGAGTTGGTTCTCTTTTCTACCATGCGTGTTCCAAAGATCAATCTCAGGTTATCAGACTTGGTGGTGTATCCACTGAGCCATTGTGCTGGCCCAGGAACATTCTTTGTGTAACCACAATATAATTATCAAGAGGAAGTAACATTACTACTGTGACATCTAACATATACAACTTTTATTTAAATTTTTAATAAATGTTCTTTACAGAAAAATAAAAAGTGGTATTAAGTCTTCTGTGACCTTGAAATTTCTGAGAGTACAAGCTATTTTGTCCTATGTTCTTCAATCTTAAAAAAAAAAAAACCTTTTAACTTTGTATTAATTTAAGTTCTTGTGTACCCTTTAGCCCCCAAATGATAGTATTTTATATAACCACAGCACATTATTAAAACAAGGAAACTGACATGGGTAATAACACTGTTAACTACAGGCTTATTGGAGTTTCTTAGTTTTTGACATGTGTACTTTTTCTTGGTGTATAGCATTACCTAGTTTTATCACTTGCAAAGGTTCATGTACACACACCATAGTCAGTATACAGAACTATTTGATCAAACACTAAAGTCTCATTTTCTCCCTAACCTTTGCCCCTGGCAAGCACTTATCTGCTGCTCTCTATCATAATTTTATCATTTTGAGAGTTCATATAGCAGACAGCATACTGACGATATCAACAGTTTGTTCCTTTTAAACTACTGAGTTGTATTTCATTGTATGAAAGTACAGCTGGTCCATCCACTCACCTACTGGAGGATGAATGGGTTGCTTCCAATTGGGAGCAATTACAAATAAACTGCTATGAATATTCACATATAGGTTTTCAATAAGACTTAAGTTTTCATTTCTGTCTGATTTTATATCTTTGAGTGTGAATGCTACACTATATGGTAAACATATGTATGATATTCTAAGAAACTGCCAGGATACCTCCTGCACTACACTCTTAACAACAATATATGTGAGATGCAGTTTCTATGCATTTCCATCAGTATTTTGTCCCTCCCCCTCCATTTTAATAGATATATAAGAGCCTGACAATTTTCTTTAACCAAGAGTGAATTCTGGTTATGCATTTAATGGAAGACAACAAAAGTGGTATGTCAGAAGTTACCTGATGGTGTTCTTTTCCATTATGGTAATACTGACTCTGATTGCCTAAGTTAGGTCATGTCAGCAAGGTTTCTCTACCATAGAGTTACACTTTGCCCTTACAATTAAAAAGGATCTTTTGGAGCTTTATTTTGCAATTATATAAATATGTCTTAACTTTTTCATAGCTTCAGCATCTATCACTGATTATTTCTTGAGCAAATCCTGTTTAATAAAGGGTGCGTCTCTTAAGTCCATTGCTCCTTCTAGAACATTCACTAGGTGGCATTCTACCGTGATAATTTTTTTTTCAAATTTGCAAAAAGCTTTAATTGTATAGTACATGTAGCACAGTTTAGCACCTTTATTATACTTTCTCCATTTGGAAGTACAGTTGAGTGGTACCAAGTATATTCACATCCAGCCACGGATAACTATACTGATGTGCACAGCAGCACTAGTCACAATAGCTAAAAGGTGGAAACAGCCAAAATGTCCACCAAACAAGTGGTCCAGCTACACGGTGAAATAATATTCAGCCTTAAAAAAGGATGGAAAGTCTGAGCCATATTATCATATGACCAAACCTTCAGAACTTTATGACACATGAAATAAGCCAGGAATAGGCAAATTTCAGAGTCAGAAAGTAGGCAGTGATTGCCATGGGCTGGGGGGTGGGAAGTTAAGTGTGCAGCAGGCTCCGACTTTCAGTTTGTAATAATGAAAATAAACTTATCTTTTTATGTAAGTATGAGCTTTGAATTCTTTTTACACTGCTTCATACTCTGTCACTATCATTTAATTTGCTGTTTAAATTTTACAAATTTAGCCAGGGAGAAAGACTTCAGGCTGGCTTTTGTGACCTTTATATATATTCCCTTCAGTCTCTGAACAATTCTTTTTTTTTTAGTTCAGTTGTTTATTGACATACAGGTAGGCTCTATAGGAACAGGCCTGGAGATGGCTGCAGTAGTTGGGAAAATGGAAGGTGGCGGGTAGAGTGTTTGTCCATAGCAACAGCTGAGCGGGGTGCAGGAACAGAAGAGCACAGTGCACAAGGAGGAATGGGGGAGGCTAAGGCTCTTAGGGAAGCAGGTATGGGCCAGGACCAAAGGCTATCTACACTGGAACCTTGGCCCTGTGACTCGGGCCCCTAACCCTTGCTAGCTGCTGACTCCTGACTCCAGGCCAGGGCTGGGAGTCCTCTGGACAACACTTTCTACAGAAACAAAGTACACAGAGATGTTGCTGTCCTCTTGTGATAACCTCAGAAAGCCTCCAAGCCTGCATCATCCCTGGCTTGGACAGAGCCACACAATTGTCAGCTGAACTCTATGTCATGTTTCAGAGGCATTAACTTTCCTTGGTGCAGTGCCACACTACAGCCCAGAGTGAGCACTACAAGTGTTGCTGGACTAACGAACAATTCTTTACTTGCCAACAAAACCAAGAGATTACAGGTTCACCTTATACTCTTCATATTCCTGCCCAGCAGCCCCAGGTCTCCAAGGAATGACATATCCTTTGAATGGAACATGCATTTCAAAGCAGGACCTGGGCACATTAAATGCTATAAGCATATTTTTAACTATTGGTTTCCCTGTTGTTAGTCATGGTTCTTTTCAGGTTTTCCATTACTTTCTATTTCTTTTATATACTTGGGAATTGAACCCAGGGCCTTCTGCATGCTAGGCAAGCACTCTACCACTGAGCTACATTCCCAGCCCTTAAAACTGTATTTTCAGAGGCTGGGCGTCATGGCACCTTTAATCCCAGCAACTCGGGAGGCAGAAGTAAGCGGATCTCTGTGAGTTCAAGGCCAGCCTGGTCTACATAGTGAGTTCCAGGACAGCTAGGGCTACAGAGAGACTCTGTCTCAAAAAGACAACAAAACTAAACAACTATTTTCAGGTTGAGACAGGATCCTACTAAGAACTTGCAGTCCTCCTGCATCAAGCACCCAAGTAACATACCACAATGGCTGGTGTTCTTGAATGAATTTTCATAAATGTTTGTTTTTAAAGAAAATACATTCACTTCATTGTTTTAAAATGCAGTGACATAAAATTATTCATAATATTCTATTATTTTTAAATTGTATGTGTGGTGTATGCGTGCATGTGTGTGCACACACTTGCCCATGTTGTACATACAGAGGCCAGAGGTTGGTGCGGGGTGTCTTTATCACTCTGAGTATATTATTTTTTGAGATAAGGTCTCTCCTTGAACCCAGGGCTCATCATTTTGGCTAGATAGGCTGGTCAGTGAGCCCTTAGGGATCCACCTGCTTCCATTTCTCCTGGCACTGAAGTTACCAATGCCCATGGGAGCTATGATTCCAAACTCAGGTTCTCATGCTTGTGTGGGAAGCATTGACCCAGAGTCATCTCCTCAGCCCCCATTCTATCATTTTTATGTTAGCTGCATCTTTACTTTTGACCCTATCTTCATTCCTAACATTAAGAAATTATGCTGTAATCATTTTGCTTAAATGATGCTCCAAGTAAGTTTCAAAGAACTAATTTTAATGTTTTATCTTCTCTACTGGGCTGCTGAATATAGTAACTCTTATTTGACTATTCACCAAAATTGATCTGTAACCTCCAAATCCAATCCTTTTGTTACTTCACTGTTGTTCAGACATGTACAGCACACAAAGCTTTAACTACCTAGTGCATAGTTCCTGGTGCATGGTTCCTGATGAAATCAAGTGATCCTCTGCCTTCTCCTTTAGCTCTCATGTGGTATACAAATGTTCTTTTCTTTTTTTCCTTCTTTGTCTTTTTGAGACAGGGTTTCCATGTAGCCCCAGCAGGCCTGAAAGTCACTATGTAGACCAGGCTGGCCTTGAATTCACAGAGATCTACCTGCCTCTGCCTCCCAAGTGCTGGTATTAAAGGAGTGTGCCACCATACCTGGGTATAAATGTTCTTATAGTTCTTACAGTCTATTAGTGCCTTGCTTTTCACATTTCTGGGCCTTTTACTTGTGTCTATATTATTTAAAATGACCCCCAAATTAGGCAACATGGGACATTTCTATGTGCAGGTAGGCTGTGACATGTCATAGCTGAAAATATGTGAGATAAGCTTCTTTTAGGTGTGAGTTATACTGCTATAACTGCTATTGCCATGCTCCACACTAATGAAGCAATAATATGTAGAAAATGAGGTGGCTTTAAATAGGACTACTGTTATGGTTTGAATGTGAAACGTCTCTCACAAGCTCATGTCTGAACAGTTGGTTCCCAGATGGTGCAGACACTATTTTGGGAGGTTCACTATTTAGGAATTGGGAGACCTAGCTGGAGGAAGCTGGTCACTGGGGCATGCCTTTGAAGGCTATACTTGGTCCCTGGTCTCATCTTTATCTCTTCCTCCTGTTTGCAATTAAGTGGGTAGCCTTTGCCATGTGCTCCTGCTTCCACGATGCTGTGCCTCAGTGTGGGCCCAGCATCAATGGAGACAAGGACGATGGGTGAAAACCTCTGAAACTGGGGCTAAAATAGACCTTCCCAACTTATACTGTCAGGATCACGTTTTGTTGCAGTGATGCCAAGTCTGATGAGTATAACCACACAGAAAACAAGATCAAGCATTAATTAACTGATGAAAATATGTGATCAGATGCTTAAGGGAACTTAAGCCTGTATTTTCACCAGGAGCAAATGGCTCATGGTAATTTTATCCTTATTTTCTTCCAGGTTATTTTCTTCCTCATTTTCTAAGTTTGGTAATTAGTCCATTAATTTTCAGTTTTTCTTACTTTCAAATATAAGGTAAAACTTTTAAGGTAATATTTTATTCTCCTGTATATTGGTAGTGGTTCCTATTAAGTGGTAACCTTCATATTTAAATTAAGACTCTAAAATCAGTAACTCATTTTCCAATTACTATTTAACATTATTCTTTAAAATAATTTTATTGATACCTGCTCCTGTATTCTCTGTTGCAAACGGCTTAATAATCCAACTGCATCTCTAGTACCCAGAGCTGTCAGCTCAGTCTGAAATGCAGCTAGCAACACACTGTGTTCCTTTAAGAAAACATGTTGAAGGGCACGTAGAAGTTCACCCCGCCAGTCCAAAAGGCTCTCGTGAGATTGAGCACTGTCATAAACCTATCAGAGTGAAAAACGCAAAAGTTAATTTTCCAATAAGCACATTTAAAAAATATTCTAGCTAAGCCAGATGTGGTGGTACATATCCCAGCACTGGGAAAGACAAAAAACAAAACAATCTAGAAATGTTAGTTTGCTAGCTTTAACACACTCATTAACAGTTTCCAGAGCAAAGATACATCTCTTTTAAAAGTGGCTATAAAACTTTTACATTCGCTATTGAATTAATAGTTATACAATATTGAACTCAGTATAAGCCCTGTAAGACATAAAACTGAATGGGTTTTTAACGTTTAAAAAAGATCTCTATTTCATTTTAAAATATACTGTTCCTTATAGAGAGACTCATTGATTTTGCTCATAATACTGAGATGTTGGCACATGTATCTCTAATCTGTATCTGATTATTACTAGTCATAATTAGTTGCACTAGGATCCTTGGCACCTGTGTATGTCTATAAAGTCATTGGGTAGATTTCAATGGTAATGTTTATCATCTCTACTAATTAACATGATGTAAATTTTTTAAAGAGTTTTAAAAAAAATTTTAAATGTCTTTTTTATTATTTTTATTTATTTATTTTATGTGTATGAGTGTATTGCCTGTATGTATTGAGTGCACCCGTGTTGTGCAACGCCGTGGAGGTAGGGAGACGGCTTCAGATTACCCTGGAACTAGAGTTAAGGATGGTTTGTAGCTGCCATGTGGGTGTTGGGAATCTAACCAGGGTCCTCTGCAAGAGCAGTCAGTGCTCTTAAATGCTGAGCCATCTCTCCAGCCCTATGACATAAATTTTTATGCTTCCTCCTCAAATATAATTAATTTTTAAAAATTCATTGATTTTTTTTTATGTGTATATCACACAGAACATCCCAAATCATCTTACTCAACTGTATACCCACTTCCCATATGGCACCCTCCCACAACCTCCCTTCCCCAACTAGAGCCCTTATACTCTGATATCCCTGCTACTGTCCACTGTGATGTCGTCACCTCCAGCTGTTCCCCACTACTTGTCTATCTGGTGAATCTAGTCACCTATCTAGAGGTCTTTGTTTTAGGAAGGTCAGCTGTTCTTCACATAGCAGCAATCCGTTGTCAATATTCCTTTAGATAAGATTGTGGTCTGCTGTTCATTTTCCCAGTATCTCCCAATATCTCCTATCTGGCATTGTTGCTTGTTATGTAGCCTTTAGCTATACATATGAACTCTAAAGAAATTATATTGGTCCCTTGAATCTTTGGGTGTTTTGGGTGTTTAAAGTCATACAGTTGGCCCAGGTAAACCAATTTATTTTTACTCTTAAGGCTGTTTAAGGATCTGTTCCTCAGAGGTCACATGGGCTTGGGAGGAG